GAAGACACAGCAAACCCCAAAAGTTCAGATTTGAAAAAAATATGAGATTCAGTTTTTATATTCAGGTTCAAATGCTCAGCTGGGTGATGGGAATTACAGATGTAAGGTTAATAGAAGACCAAGTTTAGAGAAGTGTTAACAAAAATCAACTAAGAACTCTTCAGAGGAAGAAGGTGATTATATTAATCTGTTCTCTTTTGACTGCAACCAAAAGAAATCTATCTAGAAAGCATAACTACAAGAGAGCTGTGTCTTAAACCCAAAGGGCAAGGATAAAATAGAATCTTTTATTAGAACAAGGGAACTGGGCACCATGAGGGCACTCTCTTTCCTTTCACTCCTTGTACATTCCTGTTTCTCTTTTTTTCAAATTTAATTCTTCTCCTCATTCAGTTTTACCTACAAAATTTATTACCACAAAGTATAACAAACACATTCCCATTTCTCTTCCTTTTTCTTATTCCTTTCAGTTTTCCTATTCTCTCCTTCCCCCTTTCTCAGTTTCTCTTTTTTTGTGTGTGTTTTAAGTTTAATTATATATTTATTTTTGGGAGAGACACACACACACACACAGAGGGAGGGAGAGAACCCCAAGAAGGCTCTGCGCTCTCAGTGCAGAGCCCAACACAGGGCTCAAACTTACAAACAGTAAGGAGCGACTGGGTGGCTAAGTGGCTCGGTTGGTTAAGTGACCGACTCCAGCTCAGGTCACGATCTCACGATTCGTGGGTTCACACCCCACGTCCGGCTCTGTGCTGACTGCCAGCTCAGAACCTGGAGTCTATCTTCAGATTCTGTGTCTCCCTCTCTCTCTAAGCCTCCCCTGCTCATGCTGTCTCTATCTCTCTCTCAAAAATAAATAAAAAACATTAAAAATAAAATCCTTACAACCAGTAAGATCATGTCCTAAGCTGAAATCCGGGATCTGATGCTTACCTGACTGAGCCACCCAGGTGCCACTCCCACCCTCCTCTTCCAGTTGTAAGTTTTCAGGAGAGGAATTTGATTGGATCATTTGTCTTTCTCTTAATAAACAGTGGTCGAGGGAGGTTGGTTGTGGGTACATATTCATCTAGAAAATAGTTGCTTCCTTTATTTTGTAACAAGTAAAGTTCATCTCCCCAAGAGGCTATAAAGAACTGGACCAATACAGCAACAAGCAATCTCTTGAGAGATCAAAGATACCACCTAAATGAAAACTATATTCCAAAACAAGATACAAAATTAGAAAGAAAGGCAAAGAGGAATTAAGAAGAAAATGAAATCTATACAGAGGCACTAAAACCAAGGGAAATATATACATATACATAATATCAAGATATATATATTCAGCAGGAAAAAATAAGCAATATGAGGACTGGGAAACCACCATTGAATTTCACCAGTAAAGAATAATTAATGATCTTCAGAATGACAGTTTCTGCACAGATAAGGAAAGGTTTAGTTGCTGCAAGATTTGATGATATTCAGATATATTATGTTTCTACTATTGCCCTCAGATACTGATATACCAACCATTATAAAAAAAAAGGAGTGGGAGAAAATTAGGGTAATTTTCTATGCCGTTACTAATAACTGCTAACTGACTCCACGAAATCTTTTAATCTACACACTCATAAATAGCTGTTTAGAGTCTTATTTTAAAATACGGGGTGCCTGGGTGGCTCAGTCAGTTAAGCTTCCGACTTCAGCTCAGGTCATAATCTCACAGTTCGTGGGTTTGAGCCCCGCGTCGGGCTCTGCACTGACAGCTGGCTCAGAGCCCAGAGCCTGTTTAAGATTCTATATCTCCTTCTGTCTCTGACCCTCCCTGCTCATACTGTCTCTCTCTCTCACTCTCTCAGAAAAAAAAAAAAAATTAAAAAAATGTTACTGGGCATTTAATGTCAAATTTTCCAGTCTATGGTTTCTGGAATGTAATCCTTTTTCCTTTAAAAAAAAAAAAAATCAAGACATATTCTTCTTTCCAATATCCGGGAAGCTCTCCACATTTGGATGATTCCATAAGGATAAATGAATGAGACCGGATCTTCTCCAATACTTCCCTTGGTTCCCTAGGATATGTTTTTGTTTGGGTCAGGAGAAACAAACTATTTTTAAGCAACCAACTGCCCTTAAATTACCTTGGGTTTTCTTTTCCTCTTTCCTACATTTTGTTTCTTTCCTGTCTGAAGACCACTTGCCTTGACATGGAAATTGGACAATAAAAACACGGAGTAGTTCTCTCTGTTATCTCTACATAATACACATCTGTCTCAATCCATCATTAGAAATAAATTTTCAATTTCTACTTGAGGCACAGTTCCTTTTAGAAAGTATCATTTTGTGTCTCCATAACACTTTGGAGATCCAAAAATATAGGCTTAGGTTAAACTATGTCTTTAAACCTCCTGTAGTCTTCTACACAGGTGGAGAAAGGAGATTCAAATAAAATAGATAGGGGTGGGGCAGTAGGAATGTCTTTCTGAGAAGTACTAAATTAGGCATAGGAATATGTTTGCATTGCAAAATCCTAGCCAGCTTGAATCCTGACATGATTTAACAGGCATTTGTAACATAATTTAGGGCTATAATCTTCCAATTAAAAGTTGGTTCCTGTACTTCATGTTTTTTAACCTGTTTATTTTAAATTGAATTATCACCTGTTGTTTTTAAGAATTATCCAGTGATCATAGATGTGATTATTACAAGAAGTTTTATGTAATCACATGCAGTAAGACTCATAATCACACAATTGCCTGTTCACTCTCATAAAAACATAGATTTCATTCAAAAGGTGTCCTCACTATCCTGAAATGGACTGTACTCATTCCTGCTTTCAATTGTTTACTTATATTTTCAAATTAGATTTTCCATGTAACTTTTTTTTTTCTCTCTACACTCTATCCATCCTTCAGGAATCAGTTCAAGCTCTAGCCCCCAACAGAAAGCATTCCCTGAGAACATGTATTTCAACCTCTATATGTATGTCTCTCCCTAACTCTCTTTCCAATCAAGTTCTATATACTACAACGAAGACATTATTATACACTGTTCTTAAATCTTCATTCTTAAAGCTTACTTCTTAAGCTTTTATTATATACATTATGCTATATATTCATAAACATGCATTCATTATGAAGTAATTTCTTGAATGCTATATGAACACATTTCTTTTGTTCACTGCCAGACAAAAAATTACTGTGGCAAGGATTGGCTAATTCTATTAGGGTATTTACTGAAACAACTGAAATAAGAGGCTACAGTGGAGGGTAAAACAGGGTAACAATAATTTTGCCACCTGTCTTTTGTATCTTCAGTGTTCTATAAAACAAGGATATTGCTAGGAAAATGGTAGTTGCGCACTAAATGGTTAGATTTATAAATAGGGAGTCGTTAACACTTCAAAGATGAAACTGTCATATTGTTAAAATAAGCTGTAAAATATAAACGTGGGGAAAGGCAGGGCTGGAGGGAGATGGATAGTAGAAAAGGGTGGCCTTGTGGCAGATCTGAATATGGGACATTGATGAAAAAGACAAAACTACTGGTTGTTCTTCCTGAGCACATGCAGGAAGGTATTAGGCAGAGCAGTGTTAAACAATGACGATTCAGAAATTCTCTACAAAGAGCTAGGTTTGTGAAAAACAAAGGAAACTAGCATTGTTTAAATAGTAGTCTACAAACAGTTTTACATATTTTACTTAACTCCACCATCACAGCCTTTTAAAGTTTTTATTGTTATTTATAACTCTGTAGATGTAGAAACTGAAGATAATAGATATATGACCAATAAGGTAACTGCAGTTTTGCTCTATAAATGAAAGCTATTTGAAAGATAAATGAAGGATAAACCATATATATTTTTGCTATATAAGAAGGTGAAAAAATTAAATATATAGAGTGCTCTTGAGAGTACACAATTAAAACATATGAACTATAAATCCATGACATATATTTGAACTATAAACCCATACATATATTTGAATCTTTTCAAAACCATAAAGATGTATTGAGCCCAAAACATGGAAAGAGCCTAAGTGTCCATCAACAGATGAATGGATCAAGAAGATGTGGTTTATCTATACCATGGAATACTACATGGCAATGAGAAACAATGAAATCTGGCCATGTGTAGCAACATGGATGGACCTTGAGGGTGTGATGCTGAGCGAAATAAGTCAGGCAGAGAAGGACAAATATATGTTTGCACGTATAGGAGGATTAGGAGGAACTTAACTGAGGAAAAAGGGGGAGAAGAAGGGGGGAAATGGTGGGGGAAAGGGAGAGAGGCAAACCATGAGAGACTCTTGAATGCTGACAAAAACTGAGGACTGATGGATGTGGGGGGGAGGGGGAGATGGGCATGAAGGAGGGCACTTGTGGGGATGAGCACTGGGTGTTATATGAAAACCAACGTGACAATAAACTGTTTGTAAAAAAAAAAATGTATTGAGCCAAAAGTCTTTTTCCTTTCAGGGAGATATTCTGGCATTAGACAAGCACATCCTCACTCATGAAATTATATTTCCAGGATTCTAGCAAATACCAACTTAATGCAACTAGGAAATAGAAGAAAAGTCATAAATAGAAATGTACAGTTTATAATATTCATTTTTTAAAGGATGATATTTTCTTTTCATGTAATTCTATGAATTTTTGCTTTTGAAACTTTTGCTATCAGCTTTATTTTCTGGTGTATTTTTTTTCAGTTCACAATTTTATCAAGAAAACTAGGGTCAATAGGCAAAATGTTAGTGCACAAAAGCACTGTATTCCACTTGGAATAAAGTGAGAAATAAAACAAGAAAACAAACTCACAATCATGCAAACATAGACATATATCAGAAACTGAATAACTGAAATAACCAATATATTTCTATTTGTAGGAATTTACTACTAACGTCCATACACAAAACTACTTTTTTCACCAACAGAATTGGCTCCATCAATTAAGATGGCTTAGATGACTGACCAGAAAAATGAATCATGATGAGTCATGCAAAATGATAGGAGCTCACCTTTAAGTTTATTCTTTGAAGCAGCCGCTGGTTCCAAGGAAAGATTGCACAAGAATAAGAGAACAAACATATTAGATATTAGAGTATTAGTAAGAAAAATAGATATGTTATTACTATTAAAGTTTAAATGGTAATATTTATGATTACATAATCAACACACTTTAGATGAATAGAATCTATAATTAAGACAGTGATAATTGGTTATATTTTGTTAGTAAAAGGTTGGAGTTTGTATAAGAAAGAGTAGAATAGATAGGAGACATAGAGTGCAATTCCCAAACACCATAAGGCACTAAATTCCTTTTCAGGACTGTATATGTTTTCTTTCTATATCCCCTTCCTAACTCAACTTTAGTTAATTCAATTAAAGAAATACACACAAATAGTTTAAATACATTTTGTATTATTTAACAATTAAAATATAGCCCATAAAGTCCCTTGAATTTATTGAGTGCGTACTAAATGCCAGACACTGAGGTTGTGTGCTTTCCATATATCTGCCACTTAATGATGACAGCATCAAGAAGCAAGTTTTGTTATCACTGATTGCCTGACAGATGTGGAAACTGTGACTTAGAAAAGTCAAGTTACTTGCTGACACAGCTGAAAAGAAGCAAATTTGGGATTTGATCCTAGGTGTGACTTTTTTCCAAATCTGTGATTTAGGGGGAGATTTAAGGTACTGAGTCGCCCACTGAACTGCAAATGTCAGGTCTACAAAGCCAAATCAAAATTGCATGGTTCATTATATTTCAGTTATTTGGTACTTGGTTGACCGCATTTCTATATAACTAGAAAACTCCATTATTTTACAATGCATTATTCCCATTAAGAAGTAGTAATTTAAATTTATTTATATCTAGTGGTAAACACTATTTGGAGCAAAAGTAAACTTAATGAGGAAATTAGAAGTATCATACAGGAGCATTCTTTGCTCAAAAGAAGACTTCTAAACACAATGCATAATTAGATACCTCCAAATAGTTTGCTATTGATAGAAAAATAAATTTTGAAATTCTTATAAAAGCTAATGACCTATATATTTTGTGTATTTTGTTTCCCCAAACAGGATCATATACATTACTTTTCAGTCGGATTTTCTTCACATCTTCCAGGTTAATGCATGGACTTTTAATTCACTATTTTAATACTTGCAAATTTCTTGATAGTCTGTATGAACGTGAAACTATTTGCCTATTGGTAAACAGTCAGGTCGTTTGTAGAATGTTGTTTTCTGCTACTAACATAATCACAGTGCACCTCCTATGTCATATTCCTAATGTATTGTAGTGGTGTTTTGTTTCTGCAGGAGAACTTTGCAGGCTGTTTTTCTATTTCTATTCCGACGATAAAACACTGACAAAGGTGAAGACCTTAAATATTACAGATGAAAGAATCGGGATTGTTTGGAAAGGAAATACTCAAATATATTGAATGCTCTAAAACAAGAAACCAGAAAAAAGGGAAGAAAATAGACAAAGAGAACTATAGAATCTAGTGTTCGAAATGGATGATACACTGCCTTGAAACTTTTAAGCCAAAAACTGTTTCACTTAACTTTCTTACTATTTGTTTTTCAATTAAATTTAATTTTTTTCTTGGTATATGTTTAGTAGATATCAGAATTCTAATCATTAAGAATTTTTTTCTCTTTCATATTGTTTTTAAGACTACACAAAGCTGAAAGGCATTGTCAGAACATGCAAAATGTTATCTGCCTCAATTTCAGAGAAAATATTTCAATGCATCAGTGTATTAATTTATTCACGAGAAGAGAGATTTTGCTTCAAATTCAAATTTATCACTTAAAAATTTTAGTATATCAAGGAAAACTTTTCTAAAACTCTTAGAAACATTTGAGACAATAATTGGTATTTAATATGTAACAGATACAACCAATATTTCACAAAAATTCATATCGAATTAGGTAAAATCACAGAAATAAAAATAGAGAAGGCAAATCTTTACATTTCTCAGTGGAATGGAGGTGATTAATTGAAAGTTCTCAAACACTGCATGTGTTTGAGGCAGATGATTGTATTCTTAAATTACTGGGTAGAAACCAACATAGAATAGAAAGGAAAACAAAAGCTCTCTGCCTGTTTCTGTGTGTTCAGGCAGCTAATACTAGCCTAGGCTGGTTAATATAATTGGAAAGAGGCCAGGCTACCAGGCTTCTTAGCCCAATTATAATTCTCTGCATATTCAATAAAAGAAGCCAAGATGACAGCAATACTGTCACAAATGTCATGTTCAATACTTGTAAGATTTTCCATTGTCAGCATAGCCCAATTATAAGTCAATTGTAAAGTGCACATTGCACACCACCCAAAAGGGGCTGGAAATTATCTTAAAAAATGCAATTTTAACATTCACAGTTAAAATGAAAAGAAAGGAAATAAAGGTACTTTGACCAGAGAAAAGTTTTAGAGACGACATCAACAACATTTCTTCACATTTATATGAAAAACAGTAATTTGTAACTATAACATTATAGTTGTTTGTACTATTATTTTCAGAGATGATTAGTTATAGTATTAAATTTGTAACTGTTAAAAATTAAATGAATAATGTGAAAACTTGTGCATATAGCTTTTGAAGAAAAATGTGAATATTAATAGAATTATCATAGCTATTTACATATGATTGCTGAATAGTTCGTGAATATTAGGCATTCTGTCAATAAGGTTTATTTCTAAATTCTCCAATACAAATGATCAAAAAGTAAAAATACAATTAGTTGGTTATGTTAACAATTTGCTCATTGAATTTGTTGATTTTCTATTTAAAAGATATCATGAATAATTGTGTGAAGAATTTTGTGAATCTAACAGTGTTTCTCAAAATGAAGGACAAGAACTATAAATAGGGCATGTGGACATTCTCCAGGGAGATTAGAAAAATTTTACCTACCTCAAAATTGATATGACCTAGTCATATGTTTTTAAATTCTTACTTCTTATTTTAAGATCTACTGTCATAACAAAAGAGTGATATATTTCATTAGTATCTGCAATGTATTGTGTTGAATATACAGAATTTGTGGTTACCTTTAGAAATTCTTGCTGAAAAATTCTTTGCCAATGAAACATTTAGTAAATAGCAAAGATATTACTGGTATTTATTCACAAGGAGCTAATGCTAAAGCGGTATGGATCTTTTCATTTAAAGACTATGTAGAAGTTTTTCAAAATAATTTGATATTTTAGCCTAGTGTTTTATATTCTTCCTGTCATAAACAAATGTATAGATAAAGCATCATTGTTTCTTCATATGGAAGCCATAAACTTAGAAAATGTTTAGACTTTCTAAGGAGACAGAAGTTACTGACATCTATGACTTAGTATTCAGATATAGTAGATGTTTCCCTTACTCCAAATCTATCTGCAATGAAACAAAAATAAATAAACAAAACTTATTGTCAAGGATAATGTAAAATAATTTTTTTTAAATATGAAAAAGTTACTCATATATATATATATGCAATTTGTAAAAATAAAAGAGAATACACATCGCTCCTTTCTAGAAGAAATACAATGAAACTAAGAGATCCAAAATATTTCAAAACTGGTCTCCAGAGAGTATAAACTTCTTTTTCTAGATCACAAAGCCATTCACAAATTTACAACCAAAACACCAGGCATATATGTTAAAATCTGCTACATGAATGTAATCATTAGATACAGCATAGCAATGTAGTACTAACCAATGCCAGTTAGTTTGATATCTTTTTACAAAGAAGGATATCATGCTGATTTGAAAAGGGGAAATAGTAGGACATTTATTTTATCAAATATTTGCCACATTATTATAGTCTTTCAAGACATGGACATTAAACTAATTGCATAACCACCTACATTTAGACCTTTTCTCATTTTTCTCATACCATCCAACACAAAGCTAAACACATTATTTCACTAATCACTTGAGGCTTATTTAAAATAACATCTTTCTTAGCTAACAACTAACATGGTCTAAACATTAGAATTTTCCCGTAAAGCTCATTAGAATTTGAAGACTTGAAAACATGTGACAGAACCTAATTTCTTTCACAAGTTTTTCCTTCTCAACCACACAAATTTTACAGTGGGAAACAAGCACAAAAAATGATGCTTGAGAAAGAAATGTTTGTTAAAGAAATTATACCCCAAAGTATCCAAATATTTTATGGGTGGAAATTTCTCTTTACACAAATACAACAGTCATTGAATAAGGAGGAAATAATAGAGTTTGAAAACCACCATTCTATAGTTTCTAATAAATTTTCATATGTAGGCAGCTACTACCATTCATGCTGGCATCATTTAAAGGGAGACTGGTAGGCATTATATATACCTTTCCCATGAAAGGACACAATACCATTTAAGAAGTATTGTTTTGTTTTGTTTTTGTGAAAATGACTAAATTTGGATGGGATCATGCTTCTATATTGAACTTCCAATGTTCAATTAAAACAGGGGACAAAAAAATACATCGAATCAATACAATTAGTCAAATCTTGTATATGGGGAACCACACACAGACAACTCTGGCATTTGGCTCCTTTGGCAAATAGATTTCAAGGGACCAAAAAAAAAAATAAGTAAATGAAAGGAAGGGGCAACTAAGGGACATACCAAAACAATTGTCATGTGCAAATTACTTTGGATCTGATCTGAGTACTGGATATTTGATGATATTAAGGAATTATATTAATATTTAGGTGGGATAGTATTAATAGACTATTTTTTAAGTCATTATATTTTTATAAAAGTAAATATCTATAAAATGATGACCTACTGCCGGGTATTCTTTTCAAAGTAATCTTGGGATGCCTGTTCCTTATTACATTTACTCTTTAGTTTTGTATATGATTGAAATTTCTGATAATAAAAAATATTTAAAATCTTTAAAATATTCAGTTAAACATCTAGGGTTATTTCTGTTTTAAATATTAGTTTTTTCTACATGACTTTTCTTATAAATATGATTAAATATAATAATGTATATAAAACAGTCAAGTACTGACTATATATTGTTTTTTATATTAAATGTGGTCAGTTTGTCATGTGAGTAAATTATGAACTAATT